AAATGTAGTATATTTAAATTTAAAATTTCTTAATTTTAGGAGATAAAAATTTACCACTAATTAATAGACATGTACATGATGGTGGGAGATGGTTAAGAGTCAAGGGCCCGTTAATTGTGATTTGTGTTTCGTGATTAAAAAAGTAGATACCATTTAAAAAAAAAAAAGCACCCATCTATTAACACCACCATAATCCTCCACTACAAAATACAAAAATACCAGAAAATAAAATTAAAAAAAAAAAAAAGAACTAAAAAAAACTAAAATTATCACATTACTTTCCAGGATTCTAGAGTGGGGAAGTTCTGAAAAGTCTCAAAATCTAAGCCAGAACCGCCACAATCTGGCCCCACAGAAGCCTGAAACCCAAGTGGGCCAGAACCAAAGCCCACCCCAGAACCAACAGTGCCCATCGCGACGCTCTGTTGGTGATGGTCCAACAAAAACGCCGACGTGTCCAACGTCGGCAAGCCCCCACCCACTCCGGTCAACCGTGTTCCACCAGGCCTCTGCGGCTCCGGCTTCAGAATCGGAACCACCGGCATCTGCGAGTTCCCAAACCTCACCCCAGTCACCTGCTGCACCATCTGCCTGAAATTCGCCGGATCCGCAGTTATAAACGTAGTCTGAGACCGCTTCGTCGCACGCGACTTCCGCTTCGTCACCTTCCCGCCAGAAACCGCAATACCATTTCTCTGCCGCTTCGGCACAAACGACTCCGGGTCGGACCCGGACAGAGTGGAAGCAGTCGGCGTGGTAGCCACACCGGACTTCATCACGTCAGGAAACGAAACAACCGAATCAGAAACAGCAGTGCCGGAGAGTGATTTCTGGAGAGCTTTGGTCAGTGTTTCGGTGTCGCGAGCGAAGGCTTCAGAGATCCAGGAGTCAGCTATGGGCGATCGGAAAGCCCACGGTTCGATGCCAGCCAAGTTCTCGGACGACGCCATGGAGATGGAAATTATCTGCTTACCCAAGCAAGAATTCGAGTGAAGAAATCAGAGCATGGGTTCAGAATATCTTGATTGGAGAAGGAATGGGGTGAGGAGGAGAAGAAGAGAAGAAGAGAAAGGGGGGGATAAATAAAACGGTGGAGAGGAAACCGCGTCGTAATGAGAGGGGAGAGGGGGACACGCGTCAGCTAAGAGGTACGGGCATTGACTCTAGTAGGAGTGTCAGTAGGTGTGAGCTGCTTAGGGGGGAAGCTTTGACGGTCAAGCCGTGTCGTGAGGCGTCGACATTTACGCGTTAAAGTTGCTTTTTTTTGGAGCGCCGTTACCGGTGTTTTGTTTTTTTAAAAAAAAATAAAATTTTCTAGTAAACGGAGAAAAAAAATTTTTTGAAAATTTTGTTGAGGGCTGATTAGGGCAAAAGCTAAGCTCAATCATGTATGTGAGACCACGTGCAGGCTGTTGTAATGAAAATTCATGTCCCATAATTAGAAACTTTTGGGGCAAGGAAGGAATATTGGGAGATTGATAATAATTGAATAAATTGATTGGAAAACTGGTGATGACAGGGGCAGAAATATGGGTAGTATAGAAAAATTAAATGAAGTATTTTATAGTTGAAATAGTGTTGTGTTTTAAGATATTAATAAATAAATTTAAAAATAAAAAAAAAAGGTTTTTAAATTTATTGGCCAAATTTTTAAATATAAATTTTTTTTCATCTCTTAACAAAAGTTTAAATATGAGTAACTTTCTCTTCACCCTTTTCTTTCATAAATTGAATTTCTTGATTTTAATTTATTAAAAAAGAAAAAAGAGAATAACTTTTCATATTAGGGGGGGAGAAATCGTTGTCCAATGACTAGTACACAAAAATCAATCATTGTGATACATGGTTTGTTATCTTGTCATTTTTATTTTTGTTATTGTAGTAGTTATTGTTATGCTTAAATTTATTATAATTACATAAATTATTAAATTTTTGTTTTAATTTAACTAATGAAAATTATTAATAGTTAATAAAATAATTAATAATTATTATTTAATATATTTAAATTAATTTATAAATAAATATTATTAGACATTATAATTAATTATTTAATAAAAAACTATAAATTAATAAAATAACAATTAAATTATAATTTCGTTTGTCAATATTTTTTAGTCTTTTAATTTTTAGTTTTTATGTCCTTTTAATATTTTAAAAATATATAAAATATTAATTAAAATAAATATTAGATATATAAAATATATTTTATATAATTTTATAATATTAAAAGACTAAAAAACTTACAACTACAATTATAAGTTAACTTTATCAAACTAAACTTATACGTTTTTAACAAAATTTACTATCTCAATAACCACAACCACAACTCTTATTACACTCTTATTACACATAGGCGTGGTAGAAGTTGACCCCGCCAGCTGGATTTTAATCCATTCGCTTTAAGCGTGAGTGTTACAGATCTCTTGATCCATAACAAGCTTTTGATCCTTACTTTATTTGATTCGCGACTTTACTTATTTGATTCACAATTCTCGTGAATAGGGTATACAACTAGCATACAAATCAATTTCACACAACTTGGTCCAACTCATAACTAACAATACCTTCAGTGCAGTGGAAAGATTGAGACTTCATGATATTGATTTTGTAAGTTGGATCGAGGCCCTAGTCCCTTGTAAATTTTAGAAATCTATATTATACACCAAGTTAAGATTCCTTTACATATAATTCTTATACATATTAATTAGATAAAAATTTTAATTATATATTTATATCTTTATTATAAATTGTGAAATTTATTATAACTTTTTAAATAAAAAATAATTATTTTTTAAAAAATAAAATAAAAAATTAATAAATATCAACTATTAATTCAAAATAAAAAAATAAATAATTAAGATTTTATATAAATAATACATAAAAAAAATTATTTGTAAATAAATAGTATTTTTTTACACAATTATTATTTTTTATATATATCACAGAATTAGTTACTTAGTATTGTGTATGTTTAAATTGGTAACATTAATTTTAAATTAATATTTTTAAGTTAAAAGATACTAATTTAACCAAGGTCTTGTTGATATTATACAATTATCATATAGAAAAAGAGACCAATGCAACTTAAATCCAGTGGCATTGCCGCATAGGTGATAGGGATAAAAGATTAATGAATTAAGCCTATACCATACCATAAAACGAATTAGAGCACCAACAATGAATTTGAGTTAATTAATGAAGTTGATTTGTTTGGAAAATAAGGTATATGTTAACAGTGTGGACTCCTAGTCCAACTATCTTCACCCTTCTAATATATTAATACAGGATTATACTTTAACTGATTATCCTATTTAATTTTCTTAATTTATATATACCATTAAACTTAAACATTCGCCCAAGTCAACTTTAGCACCCTGAAAGGCCAAAAAAAATCATTTTAGCACCCTGAAGTTATATTTGTTTAATTTAATAAATTAATATACTAATAATTTTTATAAAATATACTAGCTACTTGGTATATTTATATTATATTGTCTATTATATCCTTTTCCAATAAAGCGACATAGAAAAATGAACAAAATTAATAGTAATTTAATAAAATGAAGAAACAATCAAAAGTACATGCACATGCTTGGGTTGAAACTAATTTTTGTTAGTTAAAATATTAGTCAATTAAGTCAAGCAGTTATGATGACAAAACCGGGTTCCAGAAGACAATTAAAAATCCCTCATTTTATAGGAAAAAGTATCTTATAATTTTTAAATATTGTTATTAGTATGTGTCTATCACTTTTTGACTCAGTTCACGAACTACTCTCAATTTGTTTGCTTTATTTGAAAAAGGGTGGTCTTTTACCGTTTGAATGATAAAATGTTACTTGTCATTGATTAGAGAGGTTCATTTTAATTTAATTATTTTTGTTTTATAATTTAATATAATTTAA